ACGAGTCAGTCCGGTCGGCCCGCTTCTTGAGGCGGCTAATTTGAAGTGCGCTAACCCGATGGGAACCACTAAAACATGATTTTATCTCAAAATAGGCCCTTCCTTGGCACTAAAGGAATGCTTTGAGATTTCTGGACCGCCATTTTAACTATCAACCTCAACTTTATAGTTGAATTTAGTGTCCCTTTTAAGAGCAAAGAGCACCACTACAAAGAACATCAGTCTACAAAGGTCAACATCGGCCTGTTTTTCTTTTGGGCATAGCTACCTGGCAAATGTCACAAGACTGCACTAACTGCTTCGTGTCTGCCTGTATCTCTGGCCGGTAAAATACATCCTCCACGCGGCCCCCCGTGCGCTTCATTCCTTGGTGACCAGCCAAGGGTCTCTCATGGGCAACCCTTAGAACATATGCTCGCAAGCACTGGGGCCGAACAACTTGTCTGAACTTCTTTACACTTTAAAGCCTGCGGTCTCTGAAGAGTAATCTATTTTCCATAATGAACACTTTGCAAGTCCCCCACTTATAATAGCGAACCTCGTCAACTTGTTCGAACCCCGAACTTAGTGATGGATCGTCATTTTGAGCAGTACGAAGATCTTCTGTTGTGATGGCAGAGTACCTTGTCCCTTCTTCATACCTGCACTTCGATTTCGTGCATCTCACTATTGCAAGCCTCGCTGTACTTTGCGTCACACATTGTTCAGGTTCTTTCGGAGCGTGTCCCTTCTGGTCTTCCCTATGTGACCAATCCGGGTCGGGATCGTTAGGTGGTCGAGCCCCAGGTACATTTCCTATAATTACTTCATATAGAGGGCTGGGCATATATTTGACCAGTAGACATCTCGTGAAATACGGTGAAGATAGGTCTACCCATGCTTCAGGAAGTTCTTGGGATGTTCCATCTGCAAGGGTGACGCGGCCTCTTCTTCCTGTTAAAGCCACGTGGGGAATCAAATTTCGTTGTACAATGACCGTGTTGCTGCCTGAGTCACGCAATATTTTTACTGGTCTCCCGAAGGCCCTTCCGACTGATACCGGCACAAACCTATCATTCCCAGTTTCGTAGTCTTTCTTTTTCTCGTCTCCCTCACACACACCAACGACCTCTTTTACGGTGCAGCCCGAAACCTTTCCTGCGTCTTCCGCTTTTTCCCGTTCAGCTGAAGCCACTGCGCATGTGGCTTGTCTCTCCCTGCTGTCCTTCGTACAGTCTTTGCTCATTCGATGGCCGGCCTCCTGAAAAACGTTACAGAAACGCTGTTTATTTTTCACTCCACATGAAGAAGCCTCATGGCCGACGCAGTCACGCGAGAAAGACGTTATTTGAGAAGCCTTTGACAATTCCTTTCCCTGCCGACTCTCACCTACTGTAGAAGAGATTCCAAACGCTTCCCGGAAATGGCCGAGATTTCGTTGATGTTGCGCCTCCATGAAGTGGCCGCACACCGCGGACATCTGCTTCAAGGTTTTGCAGTTTCTTTCCTTGAGGAATACTGCCAGTGTGGTGTGGCAGTTCTTAAGAAACTGTTCTGAGGCGAAGAGGTCTCGCATGCTCTCGTAGGTCTTTGGTGTATCGGACATTTCAACCCACTGGTCACAATAGCCCTGAAGCCGAACAGCAAATTGTTGGCCAGTCTCAAGGTCCTCCGTCTTGCTAGAACAAAATTTCTCCCTGTATCCTTCATCAATGAATTGAAACCTTTGCAATAGGGCCGCCTTTGCCTTTTTATAGTCGAGCAAATCTTCCAGAGACAGCCGGCCAAACACTTTCAGGGCTTCTCCCACCAAAAGCATGCTGAGAGCAGTAGCCCACTTGTCTTCCGGCCAATCTTGACCTTTTGCTATCACCTCAAATCAACAAAATTATGCATCTAGGTCATCTCTTTTTCTCATGGAAGAATGGAAGAAAGTTATGAGGGCATATTGGCGACTGAGGCACAACTCGGTCCATAAAACTTTCAACATTGACAGGCCGCACTCCTGGGCCGCGTTTTGTGCTTCCATCAGATGTATGCAAAGCAGCAGATTTTTTCCCTCGAGAGATGCTTTTTCCCGCGCTAACATCAAATCTGTCTCACGCGCACGTTGCTTGCGCTCATGCTGCTCTTGCCGATATGCGAAGCAGCAGATTTTTTTCCTCGAGAGATGCTTTTTCCCGCGCTAACATCAAATCTGTCTCACGCGCACGTTGCTTGCGCTCATGCTGCTCTTGCCGAGTCTTGTACTCACGTTCATGCTGCTCGCGCAGCGCATTGCATTCCTCAGCACGAATAGCCCTATCGTGCGCCTTCTGCTCTTCAATCTATGTTCGAAGCGTGTCTCCTGACAAACCAAGCTTTTCTCCCAGACTAATCTGCTCTCTCAGATCCATATTATGGTTGTTAGGTATGTCCCTTCTGCAAGAATAGAAATCAGCCTGGCCCCACGTTGGACGCTATTGCGACGGGGTTCTTTAAATAATAAAAATATGAGAACAAGTTGCGTCGGGAACAGCAACGTTGTAAAGGAACTGGCGAGGCTGTTTTTTTTTTTACTTTAAGCGGGCACACGCAAAAAAGACACACGACAAGGGTGCTATACAAAGGAGACAAAACTGCAGAAGCTACACACTAGCCTAAACTGAGTTCCAACACATGAACATCTCACCGGTGAGAATTCAGAATGTTTGCGGGGCTTGTCTGCGTACGCACGATGCAACTGAGGGATGCTGGCGCTGTAGGAGTTAGGTGAAGAGTGGGGCAACGCTGAAGCAGATGCGCCGACGGAGCAGGTCGGTGCCGAAGACTGTGGTCGATGAAGCCACGCAGACTTCTCAGACGCGTAGACCAGAGACCCTTGACACTTGAGGCAAAACAAAGCAATCCGCTCGGATCCTTGAGCCCTGCCAGGCACTAGGGACGAAACCACAACAGTGACCTTGGCGAACCGTCGTCTTCGCTGCCGCTCCAACCAACGCCACCTTGCTTGCTCGCCTTCTTCCTCTATTCCCCAGCTCGTACCCACTATCGTCGTCTTTCTTGTCCTGTCAGTCTTGCCATAGTGATCCTACTTCATCCGCTATGTTCATGCCGGCATTCTCACAGCACCAAACACGACACCAGCGCACTTCTCCCATCACAATCAGTTCGTTTTTCACTCTTTCATTTGGGGTCATATTATTGAGCATCAGTGTAGCTTGTGAAAGGCATTTGTTGATAGGTCAAAAACTTAGTGCAGCAGTGCTTTAAACCATAGATCCTTACTGGTGCTTAAATTCACTTTGTGGTGAAATTTTCAAGCCTTAGGCATGCTTGTCAGAAAACATTTTTTGGTTGAAAGCATAGTCTAAGCAAATAGCAATGGGGCTGTGTGAACAGCGAAGTCTTGAGTGTGAAGGAAATTTGAATAATGAAGTTGGAGTGCAAATCAAGTCGAATTATTTTTCAAGGTGTTCTTTTGGGCACCTTACGTTTTTGTCCTTCTGCTCGACTGCTCATTTGTTTTCTCCAGCACTGTTTTACTGCGAATAATTTTCTAATATTTCTTAGACATTTTGGCATAGTTGGAAACAAAATAACAGAAAGTTGCAGAGAATGCCTAAGTATATTTTGAATTACATTCTGTAAATAGTCACAGTTTTGCTACAAGAGCAAAGCAATAAATTTGAAAGCTACAAATTGCGATGTCCCATGAAGAATGGCAAGCAGATCGAAACATGCAGCATACAGCTCATGCACAAATAAAGCACGAAGAGCACACTCACAGGACGAGTGCGAACTATCAAGCGTCACAGTTTTTACTTCATTGTGTGTGAACAGTGCATGTTTGAACAGAGCGCTCCTTTCACAACCTCTGCAGCTAGCGTAGTCACCTTTTTGCGCTCTGTAATTGAAACAATGTCTTTCCAGTGAAACTACAGGTCGTCCAAGCTGCCCCCCTTGAGAGATATAAGCGCGCATGCTCACAAGCAACAATGCCCTGTAGGTCAACGACCACATCACAAGCGGGGAGTTGAGTGCGCCCTTTTTGCCATTTCGCTGGTAATGCAGAGAACACAGTAGTCGTCCCCCGAAACCGGCATACCCCTAGTGGTAAATAGTGTACATAAATAGGTCACCATAAGCACACCGAGGGACGTGCGCTCTCATGGCTGAGCAGTTAATGTCATGCGCTGCAGAGCCAAAGGTCGCGCATTCAATTCCGTGCAGAGGAAAACATTTTAAAAATTATTTTTCTTTCTGGCTCATAGACACAGCACACTAACACATTAAATGCGTGCATACATGCGTTTCACCTGCGGAGACCTCATTAGAATCGCAAATTTGTCTTCAAAAAAACAAAACCTTGTGTTTTCTCGGCACGGAGCTCATTTTCACAGCGAACGCTCTAATGACACCCACGACGTCACCATGCTGAGAGGAGTTCAGAGGCTTTCCGAGCCTTACACATGCACCTAATTGCTGTGTTCACCCACTTGGCACAGTAGCACTACGCACTGCCAGGCATCGCAACTCACAAAGGAAAGCTGCATAGCATTGCCTTCCAAATGATGTGCCCCATTACAATCTAGAAGGCTTTGTAACCAGGCTACTCCATTTGCCAGTAAGCATTGCAAGCTATATTAGCGACGCTTGTACTATCATCATCACGGCAGATATTCGTCTGCTGCAATGGTGTGCGTTCTACCTGCAGCCTTCCCTAATTTTCTTATCGTAAAACCTACGGGTTGTGCAAGTGAATGTTTAGTAATGTTCCGGCTAAACACAATAAATGATCAGTGCCGCAATTTCGTCACATTCAGGTCAATTACCGCAACACCTTTGTTACATTGGGGATGGCATTGAGAATTGAAAAAATTCATTAAACAGGATTTTGTTACATGCAGGCTTGCTACATCCAGGTTTAACTGCATACGTTGAATATTGAAAGTGCTCTAATGCTCACACACCCCTGTTCATATGAAAACACTGACTGCATCGAATAGTCCTTGCTAAAGTTATGTTTCTCTTTCCCGAAGTGAGGAGCTGAAGCAGAACTTGGACACCGTGTGCTGTCAGAAAGCACAGTGTGGCCTTGAAGTTGGCGAGTTGAGACGCCAGCGAGATCAGGCGTGCGAGCATGCACAGCGACTCGAGCAGCAAATGGCCTCCCTCCAAGACAGCCACGCACGGGAGGTCGAGGTGTGTGTCAAGCATTTTTTCTACCTTTTATGTAACGAGTTTCCAGGCACCTGTAGCTTTCTAATCACTTCAAGATCTTGATAAGAAGTGGATTTGAAAGAAAGTACTTGAACTTTGGTCGCTGAATGGTCGCTGAACGATCGCAGTGCCAGAGTCCCCTCCAGTTAATTTTAGGAAACTCTATGTTGTGAACTACCCGTGCAGCACGTCAAAGCTCACGGCTTTAAAGAGGATGTGTTCATCGAGAACCTGGTTTGGATTACTATCACTGAGTACACTGGATGTAGAAGAAGGCACAGCAGCAGCGAGTCGGCATGCCTTAACGTGTCTCGCTTTCGCACTGTAGGGGCTGAATCCATCGCCGCCGCTGTGTCCGCTCGTGTTGTTTCTGCTGGCGTATCCTCCGAAACAATGTTTGCAAGGGTGTGAACTGTTTTTTTTTTTTCAGTGCTTTGCATGCATAATTAGAACTCGTACAAATATCAGTGCTCAGACTGGGATTTTCGCTTGAAATCTCCAGTGTGAATTCTCCAGGACTGTTTTTTTTTTTCAAGTTGACATTGTGGCATGGTTTTCTGGCCGATTAAGGGGGGAAGAGGCACTTAGTCATCAGGCATCCTATTATTCAAGCTAGGGTAATAAAAACTTATGAGGTGGTGTATCTACATGTGCAGATGTCATATTGAACTCAGTTTTTATTCACCTCTTACCACTTTGATTTTAATTAGTCTATAATTGAAATTACTTTGATCACGTTTTTAGTAGTTTCACTTTACAGATCCTGCTGAATTAAATGTCATTGTATTCTACAATCAGCAAAGAGTGCAAAAAGCAAGTTACATGGCTCTAGCTTTCCTACAACAAAAGTTATAAAGCTTTGAAATTTATCTTTCTATTAGCGAGAAAAGGTAATTTTTGTATTTTATTTTTTTCTACAATTTTATGGTGTCCTAGTGTTACATATGACGCTTTCTTACACTCACTAGCATCTAGCTAATTCAGCAAGTCAAAAATGATCGAATTCGAGTGTACGAAGGCTGAGAAAAGTTTGTCAGAAGAATTGAAAGGTGGCCAAAAAACTGGGTACTGCAAAAATGGCAAAAAACAAAACTCTGTATATTCAAGGAATTCTACACAAATAAAAATGCTTCGCTTTGTATACAAATGCCTCAGAAAGCACCTGGGCAGTAGTCTTTGTCACACTTTTGTCGTTGCCACCGCTTTGCTTGTTGCAAGAACCTGGCAGATGCTGAACGCTTCCACTCGGCACTCCTGATCCGATGAGAATCCTTCTTTTCTGCCCATCACTCGCTCATGGAGTTTTGCTGTAGCTGAAGTTCTGTTAGGATACACGTAGAGGCTTCTTTCATTCCTCAGCAACTGCAATCTCAACAGCTATAAGTGAAGCATGCTTCTCTTTAGGCATTAGAGACCGTATGACAGAATGGAGTGCCTCGTTTGCATTTTGTGTCTTGCTTCTTTGGCAGTGTTTTAGCAGCTCCTTGTCACAAAGTCGCTCATAGACTGGGAGTAGTGAATCACGGACATTTTGTGGGAAGTTGTAGGTGTGTCTTCGCAGCGGTTCTCCCCTTGCAGCAGCAGCATTCTGCTTGCACCATGAGTCACTGCCACTTGGTCACAAGGTGTGGTTGGATTTTTCATCAGTAGATGTCACATGATAACATGTGGTCATGGATGCCCGGTGCATTGCATCTACATCACCCGCATTGACCTTCAGAGCCGAGCCATAGTATATCGAAAATTTCTCTATGACAACACCTGTCAAGCGGCCTCTTCCACTTAGTGCTTCACCAGAACATTTATATTTTTGAACTGGATCACGTAGTGCGGTACCGATTCGTTTTTGGACATTGTTTATACAGTCTTGTTTTTGGATCCGTATAAAAACTGTTAAACCTGTATAAAACTGTCGAGCCTTGAACAGCGCGAAATGATCTACTGTCCCTATCACACGGCATCACTGTGTTCCGCAAGCCGTGATGGGAAATTGAGTGCTCAAAGAGAGTGACTGCTGCCTCCACTTCCATGTGCCCCAATTCGCACTGTGTATTTTTCTGGCAGATGTGCGTTGACTCACAAACCAGTGAGTCAAACCAGTGAGTGGTGGTGTGCGCTTGCAGCCAGCGCAGAAATTTGAACAACATAGTCCGAGACGTAGCCAGAAAACAGCTCTATAACAACACCCACATCAATGTGAGACAGGTGGCCTTTAGTCATCCACGTTCCATCATAACAGGTGGCCTCATTACCGGGGTTTTCAAAGCACAGATTTCGGTACAGTGTTTTCACTGACATCAAAGAGGATTCAGTTAATTTTTCAAATGGCTCTGGTAGTTTTTGTGGTGAAGTCCCCTGTAGGAAATTTCCATGACAAAAAAGACGTCGTTCAGGGCTCTTCTTTTGTGGTAAAGTCCTCTGTAGGAAATTCCCATTACAATGACGATGTCGTAAAGGGCTGTCTGGCATTCTTTGTGCTTTGCACGGCACGAGACGCAGCAGATATTCACTTAGAAAACGGCGCATTTAGCCTGGCTGGGTACCCTCAGCCTGTCAACACTGTCTGTCACCCTCAGCCTGTCACCCCACTGTCAACAAGTACACAATTGCAGCACTCTGAAGTCAGCTTTATCACAAGTCCATACTCACGCTAACCTTTTTCAGTGGAAATGGTTCCACTGCGCTTCTGGAATTTAGCAGTTCTTTCAAACAGCTTTTTAATTGTGGATAAGTCGAGGATCCCGTTGGTAGCCACTGATGGGTCAGAGTCCTCGCGCGCTGTCACGAGCGTTCACAGCTTGTGCTCACAAGCCGAAGTTGCTGATAACCTGCAGATCTTATCGTCACTCACTTTCTGCTGTTGTGCAAGATTGGCGCTCATCAAAAGGGTTGTCTCTCCTTATGCACCGTCTTTTGCCGATGTCGTCCGAGGCAGCCAGGGACACAGGCAAAGATGTCGGCGTTTCAACCGACAGATTGTGTTGTCCAGCTCTAGGTGTGCACCTGATATACCTGTGCCATTATTTTGCTTTTCCGTAGATTTCTTGCGCTTTTTTCCAAACTTGTGAGCGGTGCGGTACTTGCGATACACCTTCGTCATAATCAAAGGTTCAAAATGTGACAGAGAGAGTAGGCTCAACTCACTGGCTAATAGAGTCCTATAGTCCCAGGGCCTAGATCTTCAGGACGTTGTGCTCCGGCTAGGCGTTGGATAATCGGGCTCCTCCACTCCCATTGTCCGGGGCGTCGGCTCCCTTTCAGGTCTAGGCCCTAGGACTATAGGACTCTATTAGTCATAGTCTTCAGATAGGGAATACCCGCGCGCTGCGTCGCCGGTGACTTCCCGCATGCCAGATGCGTAAATAAATGTTGTTTCTCTCTCTCTCAACTTACTGGCCCGGCGGCTGCGACGCGCTTCGTTAAGTTGGTTTGGCGCCGTGCCAGTATACCACCAAAACGCGCAGACTGTTGAGAAATGCTTGCTCTAATTTCTCGCTAGCTTGTGCAAGTTCAGGAAGCCGATGAGAACAAAGTGACATACATATGCGCGAGATACACTTGCAGCTTCGCATGCGCTCTGCTGCCACACGCAGTCGACAGCTTGGGAGGCCGGCGAGTCGGAAGGCACAATTTAGTCACGTGTGCTCACCGCATCGATAGGCTCACGCAGGGATGAAAAAAAGGGTGGCGGGATATAAAAGAAAAAGAGCGCCTCTTTCGAATGCGACCAAGACGGCTGCTGTAACAAGCATAGAACAGCAATACTGCGGCGCTTAAAAAGCCCGTTTTTCACACGATCATCGCCAGAAATTCAGCTCACTAACGTCGCATAGACTACTGTGATGGCTGAAATACCAATCTAGGCCGCATGAAAATTGGCAAGATTATGCATCGATAGTGGGAAAATTCGAAAATAGCATTTTCAAAAAATTAATTTTTCTAATTAAAGACCCGCTTTTACTTCCTTTGATGTGAACTGTGAATGCGCCATGCCAGCAGCATGAATAAGAAACCCCAGCACTTTATTGAGATACACTGAAGGCAGGAAAGTTCAAGCAAACATCATGGACTTTTTTCAGCTAGAAGTAGTTGCCAGTAAAGTTCTTGTTTGTCTTCAATATCAGCGTATACTTGTTTTTGGTTCATACGAATTCAGAATGATACAAATATTTTGCATGCTCCCTTCGAATTTGTGTCATCGCAACTCTACTGTATATGCAATCAAACCTGTTTATAACAAACTTGAGAGTGCCGCAAAAAGTGGTTATTACATCAGTAGTTTGTTGTATGTGAACTCTGTCTTAAAAAGGTGCACTTAGCAACCAAGCCATTCTTTTTCCAGCACATTTCTATTAAAAGGGACTCACAACACTTTTTCAAGTAGCCATGGAATGAATTCACGTAGGGGCTTATCGCTTCACGAATTCACCGCCACAAATGTTTTTAGAATCCGTCCAGTATGAGCGCAGTTACAAAGATTTGTTTCGTGTGGCAATTGTATTCTCTCTTCTCTCATCCTGACAAAAGCACTGGAAGCTAAGCAGGGAGGGGTGGTACGGTGACCTTCAGCACTTTTCTTTCTCAGCACTTTTTCAGTCTTCAGCACTTTTTCTCTCTTTTTTTTCCATGACTTTTCAGTGCAATCGTGCATGCACACGTGGGAAAATCAAGGCCTCCCATAGCCGCCTCTGTTACAACTGAGCGCCATGCTCATATCAGCCAGTGGCTGATACAATGGCTGTGACGAGTGATTTTTGAGCTCGTCGCGCCATTTGTCGAGAGAAGAGAAAGTAATTTTTAGCTGACTTTGAGAACCTGTTGTGAATTCCATGCGGCGTGTTGCCCTACAATACTTGGCTCACCTGTTCTTGAGATCCGCAACAACTGATTGAGAGCATTTTCTGACCATGCTCAAAAAATCTTGCAGGACTCTGGGCCCTGCAACATTGTTTAGCTTTTTTTTTTTTTGCTTTCTCTTCTCTCGACAAACGACACTACAAGCTCAAAAATTACTCGTGAAAGCAATTGTATCAGCCGCTAGCTGATATGTGCATGGCGCTCGTTCGTTACTGGGGCTGCTGCGGACGACCGCGACTTGTCCACACATGTGCGCACAATCCCATTGAAAGGTCACATATTTGAAGAAAAGCAAGAGAAAAAAATTGGCCCCGTATCTGCATGTTACACTGCAAATGTCGTCGAAAGACGATAGTCTTACGTCTGGAGAGAGTGAGCAAAACGTTTATTTGATGTTCTGCGCAAAAAAAAATCAGTGAATGGTATTCTGCAGGCGCTGCGTTAAAGTGCCTCGAGCGTGCAGCGGAGATGAACGAGCGCATCAAGTCACGTCACACATGAGGCATGAGCGCTATCTGATAGTTATTTCGGGAAAAAAAGTGCGTGGCGTGCACGCTTGTCTCAGAAGTGTTAAGGTGTAGAACGCAAGGTGATGAGTAGGTGCCATCACCGTGTCATCTTAGCAAAGCGTGGGAACACTTTTCTTTTTGTGCAAGCGCTGCATAGTCGGCGCAACGTGATAAAAACTACAGTCCTTGGAATTACTTATGTATGCCTTTTCCCATAAGAGACACACATACAGAATATTGAGGTGTTAATATGTTGCCTCAGATAAATGCAATAATTGCTTTTCAATTGTCAATCGCACAAGTATGAACACTGAATCTTGAGCAATATTGGCGGGCGCTCCGGATAGAGTCAGCCATTTTGAGTATCGTTTGTCCACTTTGGTGCCGTTTAGGGTACTGTTAAGAGCGGACAAACAGAGAAATGTACAGATAGACAGACAACATTTTTTGCGTCGAAGGTCCCCAAAAAAGAATATCGTCTTTAAAAGTGCTCAAGGTCATCAGGTGTGTGTCACGTATTTTCCTTCCCCGTGCCATTCCTCTCTGCTTAGTGCTTTCGTTAGGATGAGAGAAAAGAATGCAATTGCAGTGTTCCACACATATTTGTAGCTCTGCTCATTCTGGACAGATTCTACAATTTTTGTCATGGTGAATTCATGAGACAATGAGCTCCTCTAGTGAATTCATTCCATGGCCATTTTAAAAAGTGTTGCAGGGCCCCTTTAAAAAGCACGAACAGCCCCATAAATAAGAAGTTAGGCTTTTTCGCATGTTAAGCGACACTTGCTACATGCTCACGAGTGAATTTAACCACTTTCGCAATGAGCTGACTTCGTTACTCTGAAGTGCAGCACAGCCACGTGCAACTGATCATCCCTGGCTAGTTGTGTACCACACGTCACCTACTATGCTAATGCCGTCACTGCTAGACCGTCTGATGACAACTGCATGTGCCTTCTTTGTGCATGCTTCACTCTGGACAGCACGTATTGGTTCAGCATTATGAAGACAAGTTTTTTGCAAGCAACGTGCAAGCGGATTCACACGATGCGGAAGTAACAAACGTGCGAACAGTAGCATGGCGCACTTGTATCGCTATCGCTTAGCACGGTTTATGCCACACGCGTAGTTGTGCAGAGAGCTGCAGGTGACAGTGATAAGGTTCTCTATGATTTGACATAAGATGGTGCATTCATCGTCAGCTGCTGCCTTGCCTTCACTCTTTTCTGATGCTTATTCATGAAGGCATACAAAAAGAAAGTCAAGTAATTGATAGACCTGTCTCTGCATTTACTATAGTGACAGAACACCCTCTGCAGCACATTGTGGCGACAATGAGTGGACTGTCACAATAAATTTTCATGTGAGAACCTTTATTTTTTTGTTGGATTTATGGCTTCTCATGCACCATGGCATTGTTTATTTAATTGTTGGCATTTGTAGATGCAGAGAATGGGGTTAGAAAAGGTAGCCATGTGAAAGCTGGCAAGAAGTCTTCAAGCTGCTTCACATGTCTACTACTGAAAAAGGCTAAAGCTAGCAGGAAAAAAAGCCAAGTTGGCAACACTGGGCACAAGCAAAGAAGGCGCGCAATTATGCACGGGGTGGAAGGTGCAAGTGAGCGTGTATACGATGCAGTCAAGTGCATGCATAAAGCTACACAAACTGATTAATTGATATGTGGGGTTTAATGTCCCAAAACCACCATATGATTATGAGAGACACCGTAGTGGAGGGCTCCGGAAATTTTAACCACCTGGGGTTGTTTAACGTGCACCCAAATCTGAGCACACGGGCCTACAACATTTCCGCCTCCATCGGAAATGCAGCCGCCGCAGCCGGTATTCGAACCCGCGACCTGCGGGTCAGCAGCCGAGTACGTTAGCCACTAGACCACCGCGGCGGGGCAAAGCTACACAAACTGCAGTATTTTTTATGACTTTTGTATTGCAGTTGAACCTAGATATAACAAAATTGATAAAGTCTCAGAAAAATTCATTATAAAGAAGATTTCGTTATATGCAGGTTCGGTACAAAAATTCGGAAAATAAATGCACAAATTAAACAAGAGGGGTACTCAAGAAGAGCTAACCCAAAACGCTTATTTTACAGTAAAAAGACTGCGTTATTATTGTGATAGCAATTACATGCACACACTCGGCGGGTTTTTTTCCGTCGCTGCCATGTTCTGTAACAAGTTCAAATTGTTGAGATGCCACCACGCATCGTAACTCTCACGAGCGGGTAAAAGCATGCGAGCGCTGCTGAAGCAGAGATCGAATCAATCGGCCCATTCCTATCACCTGGAAAGTGCATAAGATAATATCTCTCGCGTATTAGAACTGTCCTTGAATGCTCAAACAGAGTAGTAAACCACCCGTTTTGAACGAGCATGAAACAACACGGGGACGACGGGGGGGATGGGTGGATCGATCGAGTAGCATCGATTGAGTAAACCTGCTGACCCATGCAGATGATACGCGAAATTTATGAGGCTGCAGAAATAGAAAGGCTGGGCAGTACATGTGTCAGCAGGTCTTCGATTGCTCTATCACAAAAAGAAATAGATTTTTTTCAGAACGTTGGCACACATGACGTTCATGGCGCGTTATCACGATGAATACTCGGTTGTTAGGTGAATTCTGTTTTCTTTGATTTGTCATTTCTCTTATTTGTCAGACACAGCTCAAGTATATATTACGTGGTTCCAGCAAATAAATCTTGTTGTAAGTCAGTGCCGTTGTCTGTCTCCTTTTTTTCTAGTCCCTCGTTGTTGGTGCTGTTTTTTATGTGAAATATTATAAGAAAATAAATAGCTTCGTCGACTAGTCCGGCTTTTGGTAATGTTCCAGCATACCTTGTTTTTGTGTCTGACGAAAAGAAGTTGCCAAAAATTCCCGTAAGAACTATGCTAGGAAACGACACTGAAATAATGCATATTTTGTTCTAATGTAGCTATAATATATCTACACAGCGGTTCAGAATCTGCAGAATAACCTGAATAATTTTATTACACTTCATTCTGTTCACCCAATTATTAAAAAAACGATTTCAGACCTACGTCTTGCCTTATATTTTGCAATTCTAGCATAGGCTTCAAGACCACTTTGTGGATTGGTTTGGTTTATCAACCCATGGTCACCAGTGCTTTCCTTTTTGTGTTCGTTTCCTTTTAAGCTTTCAGTGACAGCTCCTGTTCTCTTTGTCTCGGTTTTATCCTATTGTTTTATACTCAAACCTCATTTTAATAAAGTTGCATCTTGCAGCAAAATAAGTTCATTATGCCCAAAAATTCGTTATTGGGGTGAATTCTTAACACTATATATCTATTGCAAGGCTGTTCTTAATTTACTTTGCCATAACCGATATTCCGTTATGTCCGGTTCATTATATCGTGGTTCGAGTGTTGGTTACGATACCAATAGATGTTTCCTCAAAGTTTGACACCACTCTGTGTGTGTGCAGCTGCTGTTTCAGCAGATGGGTGACCTGAAAGAGAAAAATCGCTGCCTGTCGGCCGTCAACCAGGAGCAGGGCAGGCAGCTGCAAGAGGAGCTGTCCAAGCGAGGCTTTTCCTCTGAGGCAGACGCCATCTGTGCTAAGCTGCAGCTGCGCCAGGAGCTGGAACAACTGCGCGAGGAGCTGCTCCTCAAGGACGAGCAGCTGCGGGCTCTGGCGGCCAAGTTTGGCCGCTTCCGCAAAGCCTACGAGGACAACTACCAGCGAGCCACTGATGACATCGACAAGCTCGACACCATGCTTGAGCGTGTCATCGAGGTGCGCATTTTCTTCCACTTGCCTTCAAGGGCAGCATAATCTTGCACTGCATGGAAAGCCCAAAATAATGCAGATACAGTCGAATTCATTTATAACCAACTCAAAAGTGCCGCTATGAGTGATCGTTGTACCAGGAGCTCGTTGTATATGGACACGCACATGTAAACATTCATTTAGCAGCCAAACCATTCTTCTTCTTCTACCTACCTTTTTTTCTTAAAAACTGCTAGGAACACTGTAAAGTTATGCCTTTTCATGTATTGAGTGATGCTCGCTTGCTCACGAGTGAATTGGACAATGTTTGCAATCAACTCGTGCCGTTCCACAAGAGCGGTACTCCAACGTAGAACCAATTATCCCTGGAACCAATTATCCCTGGGCAGTACGTCACTTACTTGTCTCCTGCTGTCGCATGCCGAGTCGTTTGCAGTCTAACGTATGCATGTGTTTCACCGTTCTTTGTGCATGCTTCACTTTGGACCATGTTAAGGTGCGGCGAGTAGCCTCTTAATTTAACCCAGCGAAGACACCCATTTTTCTGTCAAGACGCAAGCGGCTCCGCATGATGTGGCAGCAGCAAACTTGCGAACGGCAGCATGACATGCTTGTACCACCATCACTTCGCGTGCTTTAATAGCGCACAGCCAAGCCGACATCTACATTTATAGGGACTGAAAAACCAGGTTTTTGGTGCCAAAAGTACTTGAGCAAAACACTGTTCTAGGCCCCCAAAATCGTTAATATTCCCAAGAAACCACTTTCGATTACCGATCAGGCATCGGCGAGGTGCCCATACATTCTTATTGTTAATTGCTGACCCTGCCTCCGCGCCCCTCTAGTTTCCGCTCTCCCCGACTGGCTATTCGTTACACACCCCCTGTCCTTTGTGCCCCCGCTACTCTGAGCATTCCACATCGCCAGACGAGGCCCGTGTTTTCACACTGCCACCAATCTTTTGAGGACCGGTCGACCATCTACCCTGTTTTTGATCGCTGGTACTGTCGTTGGCATTGCCGGCCGGGAGTGACCACACCATTTGCCAACATCATCGGCCCCTGACTGTATCCGATAGTCTGCGCTAAAAGAACGCGCGTATGCTACCCCACCGACTCTGTGAATTTGTGATTCATTTCATGTTTAGGACTTGTTCTCGCTCACTTTGCACTCGGCTCATGCCCTCCGCACGCGTTCGGAAGCGCAAAAACGGCTGTTAATTGGCGCTGAACGAATTGCGAAATATCCGAGTTGGTGAGGCCGCGCAAAGCCGCCAGCGCAACAAAACGATTTCTTGACCACGGCCGCCGATTCTTTGAACACTCTCGCCCGCACCAATCTAGGCGGCCGTGCTTTGACTTCTGCACGCGCAGGCACTCTTTCAAGTTTTTCTACGTGCGAGTTACACGTTTTGTGGACCTTTCAAGCAAGCTACCCAATCTGCCTTCTTCCCGTGTGTTTTGGTTTTCGAAGTCGCCATCCCGCCTCCAAATCGCTCCAAATTCTATTCCGGCTGTTTCACCCCTGATTGAGTACCTTGTCATTCGGTGCATCCGAGGGGTTAAGGTCCCTGATGCCGTAAAAATTTGTTTCTTATCAATGGGCTGGATGCATCCAAGAGAGTCGCCTTTAAACAGTTTGCTGGTATATGGAAAGGGATTGGTAAAGCGGAAATCACTGGCACCATTTAAAACTGAGAGGGCTGAATAAGGAAGAAGAAGTGGTTTCGATTTAGAAAGGGGCTCGATGGCTCAAAGAATGCAGCTTCAGCGCACATGCCATCGGAGAACACAGGGAGCAAAACAGCTGCTGCCGGCAGAATTTCAATGTCTTCTCTGGCGACAAGTTTGTGCGCAGCTTGATGCGTGTGGTCGTATGGCTGGTCGTACAGTGGGAAAAGCTCAGGTTCGTATCGGGCACAATCCATTGTGGCGTGATTACGGGACAGGAAATCGCAGCCATGCGAGCTGGAGGAAAGGACAATGAACTCAACAATGGTGGTTGTCCGCGATGGTGAGCCGAGCAGTGCAGGCGGCTATAGGCTGAACAGGTTCTCCATTCACTGCACGTAAGCACGTCATATCAAGTGGCGTGATAACCTCTTGAAGCTTGCAGCAAAAATTAGCGTCTCTAGCAGACATGACAGCACCAGTATCTTCAAGAGCGTATCCATGGGCGCCTTCTACGTAAACTTTGACAATATTAGACAGCTAATTTCGAGGACTTGTGTGTTCGGATAGCACAGTTGTTGCCTCGGGCGGCTAGTTGACCTCACTTTTAAGGGCTGGTCGTTGAAGCATAGGTGACAAGAAATAAATGGGGTGAAGGTGAGCGACGAGACAAAGTTTCCGGATAGTTGCATGAAGACATGCTGGACTGAGGATCCGAACTTTCGTAGCGAGAAGGGGGGTCGGTCCATGAAGTTGCTGTGTGATCGGGCGTCTGTAGCGTAGCATGCGGCAACGGCAGTACCTGGCGATATGGTTAGGGCTGCCAGCCACAAAACAGATCGGTTGCGAAACAGATCGGCCGGTTATCGTGCGTTCACCAGGCATTTACTGCTACGGACTGGGTGCCCAGCCACCAAATGTAAAGAGCTTTGTTGAGCGATCCGAACAGGTGGGTGGTAACTCGAAGAGTAGGAGGGGCCAGGTGATGGGTGCTCGAACGCCGATCTTACGGCTTCGTCTTGTGATGATAGCTGAGTGCATAATATTGTCTTCGTTTCTAAAGTAATATAATAGCCGATGTTCAAAAGTATTGGTTCTATCTTGTGTGTGCTCTATAATACGGACTCAATGTTTTCGGAGTTCTTAATGTTCAGTGGGTGTTTTTTTGGAGTTCATTTTTTTTTCATAAAAACTTTCCTCTTTATTAGAGTTTATTTCTCATAAATACATACTTCTAAGTTTGTTTGACTTTGAGTTAAAGTTATTGCAATGTCCTCTTGTTATTTCATTTTCAATTAAAATACATTTCATTGTTGCTGGTAATCCTGTTTCTCCGTCCTGCAAATTTTTTTCTCTCTTGCTCTTCACCTGTCCTGTTAATAAGGTGGTCGATGTACACTTCTGTAAGCTTGCGCACATGGAGGTGTGCAGGAGCTAGGAAAGCTGGTTGTCCTCTCTAATCTTCATGATAAAAAATAAAGAACATAATACCGTAATTACTCGAATCTAACGCGCACCTTTTTTCCTGTTAAGCGAGTTCGTAAATCGCATGCGCGTTAGAATCGAGTACGAACGAAAAAATTACGGTCAATCTATTGCCATCGGCAAATCCAATATGGCCGCCCCCTACGTGCGTCGGCATGGCGCGTCGGCCATTTCTGTCTATGTGTTTCCCATGTGCGGCACTTCGTACGTGTGCTGAGGAGTTAGTCATCTAGTAGTGCATTAGCATCGACGGCGTGGAAGGGCGGACTCCAAAAACTCGAGTGCACCACGATGCCACTTTTAAAAGAAAAGTCATCGCGTGTGCAGAAACGGACGGAAATCGGTCCGCATCGCCGTCGTTCGGAGTTCCCGAAACGTGCGTGCGGGACCGGCGGAAACAAAAGCAGAAGATTGTCGACAGCAAAGCTTCACGCAAAGGCTTCAGTGGACCACAGCAGCGTCGGTTTCCGCAAATTAAAGAGCTGCTCGGCGAGTATGTGCTTGAGCAGCGAGCGGCACAGCGGCCCGTGACGACAGAACTGCTCCAAGTGCGGGCTATGCAATTAGTCTTAGGAAAAGGTTTAATGCGGAGCCAGTTTAAAGCGAGCAGGTGCTGGCTAACTAGCTTTATGAAGAGGAACGGCTTTTCCCTCCGAAGGGGAACATGCATATGCGAAAAGTTTTCCGGAGGAGTACGATGAAAAGTTTCACAGTTTTCAGAAGTTCGTCCTAAACTTGTGGCGCAACAACGGCTACCTGCTTGGGCAAATCGGGAATGCCGATCAGACGCCTCTTTACTTCGACATGCCTGGCACCACAACCGTCGAGAAGGGGGCGAAGCAAGTTCGCGTGATGACATCGGTCCATGGTAAAACTACAGTGACGGCAATGCTCTGTTACACGTCAGATGGGCACAAGCTTCGCCCGTACCTCATATTTAAATGGAAGACACTCCCGAAAGGAGTCGTTTTTTCGAGTGGTGTGATCGTGCGGGCCAGCGAGAAAAATGGGTGCGTGTTGCAGTCGATGTCTTACGTTTTTTTTTTTTTTTTTCGCTGTGGAAATCGGGTGCACGTTACAATCGAGGGCACGGTAGAATCGAGTAAATACGGTAACATCACTGTTCTCAATACTGCAAAATATTAGATGAAAATAATCCGAACACAGAAACATGCAGCATATTAAGAAGATGAGGGTCTTACAAATGTTTTTTATTTGTTATTCTACTGTCATGAAAATTAACATGCACCATTGAATAGAGATTTCAAATCTGCAAACAGATTTTAAATATTGAAATTGAGGAAAAAGTAATGACAAATTTTCACATTATAATCTGGTAATTTTTTATAGGTCATTATGGTAACTTGCAATAAAAAAAGCTAGTTTTCAAAACTACATGTTTTCTCTGAGGTTCACTCCACAGGCTAAAGCAAACGAGATGTCAGAACAGCTATTTCTTTGATCAGAAATAATTTTTAAACTTGGAAGGTAAAAATGAACTTCCAGTAATTAGATAGTATTTATCATATAATTACAATTCTATTCGAGTAATTAGCTAGTATTTATCATATAATTACAATTCTATTAGTGTGAAAGAAAAAGAAAAGCTTTAGCCGGTAGTTCAAGTGCTGCGGAATAAGAGTGGTACCAAGTTTGTTTAGGTATTTTTTCAGAAAGTTGCTCAAAACTTCCGTTGTGCAGATTCACTTTACAGAAATAAGAATGCCAAGAAAATTACGTTTCCAGTTTTGAAAACATTTGTAATTTAATATATTAAAGGGAAGCTGAAGGGATTTGAGAATTTAATCAAACTTTGTGTTTAGGAAGGACCGACTTTATTGTTGATGTCAT